ATCGAGCCAGAATCAGGACAACCATAAGACCGAGGCCTCTACGTCCTGGAAGATTGGATTAGATTGGATTGGAACCTGACCTTGGAAATTTGACCTTCAAAGGGTGTCACGAAGCCCACCTCTTTCCCCGCGTTCAGTTACATCATGATGGTTTTTTCTTTTATTGTCTCTATGAGGACATGATACAAACTGGAAGAGAGGGGTCACTGGTGCTCTCAAAAAATGATTATTTGATTGCGGGTTCAATCAGCGGTTTTGTTTCCAGAGCTATTGCGCAACCACTGGATGTTGTGAAGATCCGTTTTCAGGTACTATCTGTATAGATAGTCCCTTGAGTTTTAGCTACAAGTGGAACCAATAAGCGCTTCCGATTCCAGCAAGTATCACGGGTTTGCCCAGGCGATCCGTTGCATTAACAAGGAGGAAGGTGCCTTCGCATTTTGGAAAGGCCATATCCCAGCTCAGTTACAAGCCGTCACTTTCTCAGCTATCCAATTCTTATCATTCGAAATACTTATCTCTTGTTTCATCCGGTTTGGTCAGCGGAACGGTAGCCGTGGTGATCCGCGGTCTACGTTGAACTGTTCGAAAACGTTAGAAGCTTTTACTTGTGGCTGCGTTGCGGGCTCGATCGCGGCTGGTGTTACTCAACCTCTGGACGTACTACGAACAAGGTTTATTGCTCAGGGAGAGCCGAAATTATACACGTAAGATTTGAGGGATTTTGTCGTTATACGATTTGGTACTCAACATTTCTGGTTTTTTGCATGGACACATGCCATGTTTTGCGACAGTGCGATCTCTCGTTTCACTAACCTAAGGTCTCTGTAAGTCTCTAATTTTGTGGTGATCAAAGCTGACGGACGTCATTGCAATTTGTCAGTCCCTCGTGGTTGTGCTGTTAAACGGTCAGAATACTCTAGTCCAGCTATTCTCTTGCACCAGTTTTGGTGGCTGACCAGAGGTGTTTGGGGTGAAACCGTTGTCTAGTAAAGACATGTAGGTTGCTAGTTCTGAAGCAAAACGAATTCGGTAGAATGAATGTGAACGATCTACTTCGAATTTTTTTAATTGGCGGACAACGCATCTCGGATGTTTTCTGATTATCAGGTCAGATGCTTTAAACGGTGCGGTAATAATTAGTTGATTGTGTATTTATAGATTTGGCGGACTCTAAGGATGCATGCCTCCCCCTAAGAAATTTATGCAATTTTAAATCAGCTACTAATGAGTAGTATACAGGAAAGAGGCACAAATCACCTATTTCAAAGTCGAATGATATAAAAAAATATGATAACATCAATAAAAGGCAATAAAAGGTGTAAAATTTATAAATGGATGGGATGGTGAAAAATCCAACTTAGCATGGATAACTATATTTAATGTGTGCTTGGAAAGTTTAAATGTCATCGGGAAATGTCTCGTATCAAAACTGAATCATAATCCGTATTGGACCTTATTAAAATGGTCCCAAACCATCTCACCTACGGAACCCTGGACTTGGAAGTAGTTTTCATTCCTGCGGATAATGAACACATGCCAAACACTCGATCTGTTCCAGAAGATTGTGCAGGTTGGTGTGGCCCGTTACCGTGTCAAGGTCAC